TCGGTATGACTCCGTGGTCACGGCGTGATCGTCGGTATGACTCCGTGGTCACGGTGCGATCGTCAAAATGACGGCGGTCACGGGGTGATCGTCGGTATGACTAGCGGTCAAGGCGCGATCGTCGGTATGACTCCGTGGTCACGTCGTGATCGTCGGTATGACTCCGCGGTCACATCGTGATCGTCGGTATGACTCCGCGGTCACATCGTGATCGTCGGTATGACTCCGCGGTCACATCGTGATCGTCGGTATTACTCGCGGTCACGGCGCAATCGTCGGTATGACTCCGCGGTCATGGGGTGATCGTCGGTATGACTCGCGGTCACGGCATGATCGTCGGTATGACTCATAGTCACGGCGCGATCGTCGGTATGACTCCGCGGTCACGGGGTGATCGTTGGTATGACTCCGCGGTCACGGCGCGATTGTCGGTATGACTCCCGGTCACGGCGTGATCGTCGGTATGTCTCCGTGGTCACGGCGTGATCGTCGGTATGACTCCGTGGTCACGGCGCGATCGTCGGTGCCGTCACGTCGTTATCGTCGGTGCGGTCACGTCGTGATCGTCGGTATGACTCCGCAGTCACGTGGTGATCGTCGGTATGACGGCGTGATTGTCGAAACGACTTCGTCTCCTGCGTTCGCGGACCTATCGCTCGTAATAGCGGCGTCATCGGCACTCGCGAAGCGGCAAAATCGCCGGCGATCGGACTAAATCCCGTCCCGAAAAATTCCCGAATCAAATGTAATCCCGTCCCTATAATCGGGAATATTTTTTTCCCGAAATTTCGGGACCCGTCCATCCCTAAAGGAAATACAATGTGAAAATAAACTTGAGATCAAACTCCTTGGCTTGTGAGAACCAGGAAACAAGATAAAACATAACCTCAAGTAAACAAGCCCAAACGTTTGACATCAGTCCTGCTGAGCTCATCGATGTATATAACTCTACTGGATAGCGCACTAGGTGGTGGAAAAACGGTCCGTGCCCAATTGGCGGGATACCGAGGCGGACGGGCCGAATGAACCTCACTGTTTTACACAAACATACATTCACTCAACCTGCTCTGCTACATTTATTTGTTAACATAAAAATTTCAAATTGATATATTATTTTTCTGGAAAAACCAGTGCTTATTACTATGTAGTTATTTTTTACCTTAACATATTTTTTATAATTTATTTATGCAAATTAAAACTGATGATTGTTTTTTAACACCATTAAAAACATGAAAAATGTAGTAAGCGAGGAACTTTTTTATTTTTTGGTCAGGAAAAAAATTCCTGCGGCAAAGTTTTAGATCAAAGTATGAATTTTATTTTTTATTTGAAGCTTTTTTTGATACGGAGTCTGCTTGTATCCTTTTTAAGCGATTAAAAATAGGCATAAAATCGCGTGGCGCGGCATTGGCACTAGGAGCTCGGCCGGCTCAGCATCAGTTTACGGGATCTAGAAACTGCGTTTCTAGCATTTCATTATCATTTTATTACATCAAATATGTCATTACATTACGAAGAATGGTAACTAAATTTACAAGCGTATGTTTATGCATTTTAATGCTTACCGGTAGTCTATAGTTAACTAAATTATTTGAATCAAAGAATAAATGTTGGATTCCACAGTAGTATTTAGTACCTGAGAAAATATTTTGTTATTATTTTACTTCAGTGAGAATAATCAATACATTTGAGATATTGGCATTAAATATTATAGGCTAGACTCATTTTATTTAGCAACATAATATGTTTTCCAAACACGTTAATCGCAGTATGACAAAGAAACATACGCTATAAACAAAATATATATTCTTAAATGTTGCAAAGTATCTCAATAATAATTGGGCATCACAGCAGAAAATGATGACATGCTTTGTGATCAAATATTTATTGTGATATATTTTGCTCTGTTTAATGTTCAAATATTAATAGATAGAAATCTTTCATAACATCACTAAATTTCTTATGAGATTTACTTATGACACATAGTTTATAAAGTGTGAGCAAGTACGTAGATTAATTATATCTGCCTATTAAAACCTCCTTAAGTTCGTTACAATCAATTATCCTCAGAATATTTCCACAAAACTAACATAGCAATACACGGCGAGAGCGGGCACGACGCTCGCCACTAGGGTGACTCATGCCTTTATCCCCACTCCTCGCGGACAGAGCGAGGTAGCGACGGACCGTTTTTCGAGACCTACTGCAACCTGAGCGCGCAATCCAGGGAGTTATTATACATCGATGGCTGAGCTAAGGTGTTGTGTGAAGATTTTGGCTGCTAGTGTACTTAATTCAAGCAACCAACTTTTAAAAATAAATGTTGTGAATTGTGATTTTCAAGAGAGAGAAAACTGTGGACTTGGCTAATTTGAAATTCTATAGTTCAAAATCGTCATTTAAGTTTATTTACACAGCTTTACATTGTTTTATAGGTTAAAAATACATATGCAGCTTATTATTAACCGCTCCGAACTATCCGAATCCAAACCTCCCAATATCTGATCCGATCCGAACCGAGCCTCAACTATCCGATCCGATCTAAAATGAAATTTCACTATCCGCACACCTCTAAAATTAACAAATATTGAATCTTTTATTCCTGGCGCTTAAAGTGGTAATTTTAATTTCAACACATCCATCAAACTACAGGTTATTTCATAAGTAAACAGTCAAACTCCTAGACATGGTTCTATCTGGGTAAAAGTCTGGAATCATAAAGATAAATTCTGGAATTTTTTTTTCTTTTCAAACCGTTTTGTTAGCCTGATATCCACCATTTTACATTTTTTACTTAAAAAAATTTTAATTGTTCCAACTGATCTATATGAAACAATACATATTAAGGTAGAAGATAGCCTACATATGTTAGAACAGAGGATACAACAGTACATCATTTTGGTCCTTACAAATATTGTCCTATCTCTTATGGTTACATAACAAAAATGTAACTGGTGTTCTCCATCAACTATACAGATACAATCCTGTTTTAAGAATAATAGATTGCTCCTCTTCTTTGAAAGCAGTTTCTAGAAAAGATTTTGTACCTTTTATCAGAGACGATTCGTTAACACGTTCGCTGCAGGTATCCCATTGGCTGGGCGGTTGGAAATGTGAAGCACCCTTGGCGCGCCAGCGATCATCAAATGCAACAGACATGAAAATATTTCAGTCTTGACAGTGGCAAAAAAGCGGCGGTGAGGGTGCTGTGTTACCCCAAGAGTGGTCGTAGTTCACCGAAACACTCACATATAGCAGCACTGCCTGGAACCTTAGCCATTGTCTTTGTAATGTGGCTCGAAGAGACAAAATCACTGAAAACGAGACAAAAAGTGTTGCCAGACGGGATATTACAGGAAACTTTACTACTAACCTAAACCCAAACCCCCCCTAACCCAACCTATACCAAATTGAAGTATAGGACCAGCACAACATACTGACATAGTTTAGTTGTTCCCCGAAAAATGCTGAGGTCACAGTAGACCAACTTTTATAACACTGCCCCGTGACTCTGACCAGAGTTGTAAGCATGCTGTGCCAGTACGACATGACTCCAATCGGAGTCGTCAGCAGCGAAAGTGTTAAAAAGCGAATTAGGTCTTGTTGCCCATTCATATTTAAAGCACTCTTATTTTACCCTTCAGGAATGCTATGTAGACAAATTGTCGCCTTAAGTTAAAAAAATTCAAATGGTCGCCATTTTAAAATTTACAATTGTTACAGCTTTATTATTTTTATATTATAGGCCTTGTGTATGTTAACATGGTTACCAAATTTCATAATCATTGAACGAAAAACTTCAGAGATAAAAAAATTTTTTTATAAAAAACAAAATGGCGGATAACTGGGTAAATATGAATTTTCGGACACACCTTCACAGAAACTTTTTTTTCTTCCTTTTAGTATAAGGAATTATTTCCTAAAGTCCTGACAAGTTTTTTATGGACACCCTGTATAAAGCCCAAAGTACCCATGAACTTTTGAAAACCATGTACTTAAAATGATTGTCATGACGAGAAACCATGCGCAAAACTGAACAAATATAAAAGCTACATAGGATAATGCAGCATACATACATACAGTAATGCCCCAGTTTTTTCAACTATCATTATGACGTCACCAATCATCATATCCACAGACCGAGCGACGCAGTTGTGCGTCAGACATCTCTGTAGACCACTGCAGGGAATTCAGTGCCTTCAAATAGACCGTTACAAAGATATAAGCATTTTAATAACATTAGAACCCCGACGCAAATATGCGACGGCAGTCTTTTTTAATGTTTTGTATGAGTGGTTATAAACAAAAATATAACCTCTCTTAGAGGTTATGACTAGTGATTGTTAGTCCTTTTGTTGGTTAATTCTTTCTAGTTATATATAAGGATTTTAACAGATTTAGCAGTATGGCATAAACTATCGTACGTCACTAGTCCAAAATGTGTTTACCGGGCTCGTATTGTAATCCCGTACACTCGTCTGGTAAACACTCATTTTCAGGACTAGTAACGTAATATACTATTACACCACACTACACTGTTTTAACGAGCTTCCCACGCAAGGATTTAGTCCAGATAACAGCTGTTTGCTAAGAGTTCAATCAAATGGGCTTTCATTATGTACAACTGTACTGTAATGAGTTTTTATCGGACACCAACCAGCTGATTGTATTTGAAAATGAGCAATTATAAACAAAAACATGAGTGGTTATGAGTAGTGATTGTTAGTCCTTTAGTTGGTGGGAAAATATTGGGATTCATACAGATTTTTTTATGTTAAGCTATCTAGAGTAGTATGGCGTAAAATATCATACGTCACTCATCCAAAATGTGTTTACCAGACTCGTATGGTAATCCCGCACTCGACTTCGTCTCGCACGGGAATGGCCACACTTCATACGTTTATAACATATGAACATATGTCAATACACCTAAAACATATGTCTATAAACAAATGTAACAAAATATTGCAAACATCACTAATTGTGGTTTAATTTTACAGGGAATCGTTAACAGGAAAATGAAAAGCAGTGGTAATCTACCTTCAACATTAGCAACAAAATGGAGGCTCGACCACCATTTTGTGTTCAACCTAGTGGAATGTGAATTTAACCTTTGGGTAATAGCGTTGGCCAGGTTAAGGAATATCACTTCCAATCACTACATTTCAAAGATTCCTTTTAAGTGTGAGATCTTTGTACTAAACTTTTTGTTTTTAAATTTTTCATTAAATGCCACTGTTCCGAACTATATAATTTTAATGATCAAGTGAAACTATCGCGTTGTACATTGTTTTAAAAATATACCTTAAATAGATATTTCTTATTCCATCGCTTCTATATGTTAGATACTGAATCAATAATATGGTATGAATTCAAGTGTTCAGTTGGTAGCCTCATAATTGTAAAAGCTAAGACCTATTCTTTCCGACCAATCCTTGACTGTTCAAATGACATTTTTAGGAATGGACAACATTTAAAAACCAATAATACTAAATTTCAAAATTCAACATTAGGTATCTATTAAACTGAGAGAAAGTAAATCTAACCGATAAATATTAACTATTTATTTGAAAATTCTTCCTAAATCCAATTCATGAACCCCCACTCGTTTATAATCCAAATATAACTATAAATTAAAAATAATCAAAAATGAAATTTGATAGAAATATTTAAGGTTTATGTTCTACATTAAACCATTGCTAGTTAAATTTAAAATGTTTCTTGTTAGTTTTGTCCATCCCTAAAATTGTTTACACTGTCCGTTCTATCGTTGTATATATATATACTTAGGCTATGCGACTCTTCCCCATTTATGATAACAATGCGGGTTGAGTCTTATCGGCGATAATATATGAATGAATTATAATAAAGCACTTTATAAGTTAATAAGATGGCGTTTTTGGTTTGTAGTTGTTTTGTAACACTTTGCTTTATAATTACTATTAAGTTGCATCAAGCCCCTCAGGTCAGATTCAATCTTTATAATCTGTTGTAAATTATTTTTCTCAGTTTGCTCTAAGAGTGTAATTTTATATTTTGACTTTTCCAAAAAAAAAAAGAAATGGAACACCCGCGTTCAACGGAATTTATGTCAACATTAACCCCCATATGAAAACTAACGCTGATCTTCATTTTTTATAAAAGTTGCACATTAAAAGTCAACTGCTGATAGCAAATAGAAAACAAAGTTGATCATTACTCTTTCATTGATCTTTTACACCTTATCTAATTAACACTAGAGTTTCATACGCAGTTAACACTTTCAAATCTAACTAATAATAATTTTCTATTAGTTTTGGTATGAATCCATGGACCTAGTAATTTACAACCTAACTTTTAGATTTTCTTGTGAGTATTTGTCGTAGAGCATATTGAAAAGATTGATAATTTTATTGCAATCTTAGTCGGCAATGAGGCCACAAAAATTGTATCTCTCATTCCACATTAATGTCTCAGTAATTTTAAAGTTGGTAAACTCTAGATACGTCTTTTTAAAACTGATTTAACGAAAGTTTTTAAGGCTTATGAAAAGGTTTTGCCTGGGGGGTTCTTTGTATAAAAAAAATATATTTACCTTTTTTAAATTTTAGTAACTCTTATAACATAATGTTGGAGTAACCAAAAATCGGTTAAGAATGTAATGGATTCACTTAGAGACCAGTCCTAGTATGGCCATATTCAAATGGGATGTGAAGCTTGCACACAGCAGCAGGAAAACTTGTAACCAACCACTCACAATGAGTATCTACATACCACTAAAAAGCAAAAGGTCAGGTGCCTATAAAAACAATACTTTCTCCATATATGTATAGGGGGAAAAAAGTATATAAATTGGATTTTACTCTTAAAATTTTACCCAACAAGGGGGATTGAAAAATGTTGTCATAATAATAAATTATACTCTTATTTTGAGACAGCAAGTTTGGTGAAAGTGTATAGTAGGTGTGTCCAAACTATGTAAATAGCTCAGGCCTAAAAACTGACTTGAGGGGCAAATGATTTTTTTTTTTAATTACTCTGAAATGATTGTTAGGAAATAATTTTATCAAAAGTAAAAATAGATTTAACAAACCATCAGTGTTTATTTATTTTCAACCCAAACCGTCCAAAGTTTTGTATAACTAATATTAATTTTCAATTTTATGTTGCCGGCCTCTTTTTACCTTTCATTTGCCCATCAGATCCAGCAAAGCAAGGGTTACTACAAGGGCGAAATGTTATTAGTAAAAAGCAAATGTAATGATAGTCCCGCCAGGTACCAAGGTCCAAATCCTTGACATCGCTTGTCATGGATCCAAAGTGTGTCTTGCTACCGACTGAGCCACTGACTCATTGATCAAACGTGATAGCTTAGTGACATGGTGGGAGGATGAAACATAGGTGTAATACTTAAACTGTCATAGGCTGACCCTGATAGCAAACACCATTTCACTACCTATTTAAAAAAAATATACAGGGTGTTTGTGAACTCTCTTGAAAAACATCACAGGATTGTTCCTTGGATTAAGACAAGAATATCTTACATTATAAACATGGGTCGCTGGGCCCTTGTTTTCCGGCTGTCCGTCTGTATGTGTTTTTTATAAATAACCTTGTAACTAGAGTTTGAATTGAGGTACAAACATAAATTTGATACATTTGTGAGTCTTGCTGTGGTGCACAAGCATGCAAAATTTAATTTCATTGACTAAAGCCGTTTAAAAATGGCGGCGATCTAAAATCTTTGATGTCAAAATTACATAAAAACCATGGTAGTTACAAAAATAATACAAGAATAAAAAAATTTAGGAAATTTAATGACAAATCAAATGACACCTAGTGTTAAAAGATCGTACAACAAACAGCTGAGCTATTAAATTGTTAAACAATTAAAATTGGTTGTTTTGTATTCAATATTGGTTTTCCTGCAATAACATATCATTGTTAATTATTTAAAAATTAAATAACTCAGCTGTTTGTTGTTTGATATTTAAACACTTAGTGTCATTTGATTTGTCATTGAATTTACTAAATTTTGTTATCAGTTTGTTTATGTTGTAACTCTAATGGTTTTTAATGTAATTTGACGTCAAAGATTTTAGATGCCCGCCATTTTGAAACTTGCTTGTGTACCACAGCAAGATTCACAATTGTATCAAATTTAAAGTTTGTACCTCAATTCAAACTCTAGTTATAAGGTCATTGAGCGAAGCTCACTTTCCCTCACTTTGTAACTTCTTTGTAAGAGCATCAGAATGTAATGGCTTGACCAATTGATATGAAATTTGGCAAACAGCTACAGAATACTGAGCACAATGTTTTGGTAAAAAATATTTGAAAATTTCCTTCTGGATATTATTTTACGGGCCTCGCAATTTCGCTTGTTATTTTAATGTAAGTTGAAAGAAAAATTATATTGGGTTTTATGACGTATGGGTTTATATCTCGTTTAATTTAAATAAGACAAACATATGTTAATTGTTTGTAACTGTTTTGTTTACATTTCAATGTTTACTTTCATCCTAGGTTAAAGTTGGAATGTAACATTTTATCAATGGAAGTAACAGTTTTGCTATATTTGTTTTGAGCATGCCTCAAACAACATTTGGCCACATCGTAATATTGGCCGTCGCACCAATAATGCAAATATTGTAAGACAGTGGCGTCGTGAACAAGAAGAACCAGATGAAGCAGTGGCGGAAGAAACTGATAATGATAGGCAGTTAGCTAATCAATTCCAACATGAATTAGATGCACTAAAATTTTACACTTGCACTAACTGTCATCGCCAACAACTAACAGCCTCAGACCAATCACCGATTTGTTCGCGTTGTCGTTCAAATGCAACTAAATTCACGGCGTTAAATAATATGGATGTGTCAAGTGTCCCGAACGAATTAACTGACCTGACGATTGTAGAACAAATGTTGATTGCACGAGTACATCCCGCTATGCGCATTTACAAAGTACAAGCAAATGGTCAGGATGGCCTTCAGATGGTTTCACTACAAAGGTTATTAGTAAATTAACCTTAAGAATGTAACCATATTCAAATGGGATGTGAAGCTTGCACACAGCAGCAGGAAAACTTGTAACCAACCACTCACAATGAGTATCTACATACCACTAAAAAGCAAAAGGTCAGGTGCCTATAAAAACAATACTTTCTCCATATATGTATAGGGGGAAAAAAGTTACTACTATAGGTATTACTACTATAGTAATTGGGACCATAGGCCCAGTATTAACGACGTGACCGGAGGGAGTCCTAGACGTAAACTCCTACCGTTCACGTCGTTAAAGCTCGGTCTAGGCATGCAAGTTATGTATTTTAAATGTTTTTTATGTTATGTAAATATTTATGAACTTTGACGACCTTCGGAAGAAGTGACAATGTCCTTGGGAAAACCTGATGAAGGCTCCATTGTGAGCCGAAACTAGTTGTTACACAACCACTTGGATTGACAACATTAGAGGTATTTAAACCACTTTAATAATATTCTTGTAAAGGAACAATCCTGTGAAGTTTTTCGAGAGAGTTCACAAACACCCTGTATAATAGTATACAGGGTTAGTAAAAAGTGTGGAGACCCCCTGTTATTTTTTAATGGCCTATACTAGAAAAACTAAACTCGGCACACCTTTATAGCATGTTATGAAGTACTTTTTGGGCATAACCAAAACTTGGTGTATATCCCCAAAATGGGGGATTTTGGGGGAAACTCAAAAACTTCAAATGGAAAGACCCATCGAGTGACCCCTCATTTTGAAGGTACTGGTAAAAGAAAACCAACAACGCAAATAAGAGGTCTATATCTCAATTCAGTAAAAAATGGCAGCCAATTGAAATTCTCTCTTGGTGTACATCCCCAAAATGGGGGGATTTTAGGGAAAACTCAAAAATTTCAAATCGAAAGCCCCATTGACCCCTCATTTTGAAGGTCATAATAAAAGAACACTAATAACGTAAACTAGAGGTCTCTATCTTAACACAGTAAAATATGGCAGCCAATTGAATATAAAATTACGAGTATTTCTGATTTCTAAAGATTTCAATCAGCTACCATTTTTTACTGGATTGAGATATAAACCACTAGTTTGTGTTGTTAGTTTTCTTTTACCAGTTCCTTAAAAATGAGGGGTCACTCGATGGGGCTTAACTTTTAAATTTTTTGAGTTTCCACCAAAATCCCCCATTTTGGGTTTGGGAACCAAGTGGATATTAGGCTTAAAAAGTACTTCATAACATGCCAAAAAGGTGTGTAAAGTTTAGTTTTCCTAGTGTGAGCCGTTACAAAATTTACAGGGGGTCTCCAGACTTGGAAAGCTGTAAGTTAAATTTAACTTCTGATAATTTCAATTGGCTGCCATTTTTTACTGGATTGAGATATAGACCTCTAGTTTGCGTTGTGGGTTTTCTTTTACCAGGACCTTCAAAATGAGGGGTTAGTCAATGGGTCTTTGTATTTGAAATTTTTGAGTTTCCCCCAAAATCCACCATTTTGGGGATGTACACCAAGTGGTGGTTATGTCCAAAAAGTACTTCATAACATGCCATAAAGGTGTGCCGAGTTTAGTTTTTCTAGTATGGGCTGTTAAAAAAATAACAGGGGGTCTCCACACTTTTTACTAACCCTGTATATCGTACCTAGGGCCGAAAATGTGGTTCTGCCGGCTCGAGATAGTTTTTAAGTTTGAAAGGAAGTCAAGAACTTGAAACGATCGAGAGATGCAAAACCATTTCGGTCCTTAGTACGAACACCATTTTTCACCACACTATACCCTATTACCACTATTCACCACAATAATAATGCACACTGATAGTCAACACAACTAAAACTTTAAGGTTATGTGAAGATATAATTTGAGGACTTTTCAAATCCAAATGATTTGTATTTACTTCATACATGGAGGCCAACATTTTTAGTCTGTGCTTTCTTTCTACGATAAATAACCCTGGAGTTGAAATGACACTTGAAGTCTAAACAAGAACAACTAAAAAGTAAGTACTGCATGGATTCTTTAGCTTTTTATATTTCTATATTTATGACATAGCCTTCATTTTGACATACCTACCAACCATTTAAGAATTCCATATTGTATATTTAATTGAATTGTATATTTAAGAATTCCATCTTCTTTTCGTTATTACAGGTATTGAATAAATGGTTATGTAGTGTCGAATATGTTATGTTATGGACAGTAAACAGGGTCCAAGATTGGTTGTAGCTCTTTTGGGCACCTACACTTTAAAAGCGAAGTTGGCTGACTCCGGTCAAGCTGTCATACTATGCAATTGTCCATAATCCTTTCAACCTGACTAACAAGGAATTTCCTTTAAAACTAACCTTTTCCATGACTTTAAATAAGGCACATGGATGGACAGACGCTAACGAAGGAAGGATTCTACGTGCCGAACCCTGTTTATTAGCGAATTTCCCATGGGAATAAGCTATTACTGCAGGTCTCATGGTAAGACCTAGATCCGGGATTGATTTGCTTATCGTTTTAGGTCCCCAGAGGCCAAAAACACCATCCGTTCAAATTCATATATAGTAATATAATATATGTCTAATATATATATATATATAAACGTGTAAACCTACGTTTATTCAAACAAGTTTGTGAACCAGCATAATCGGACTATGGGAACACTAGTCTAACTATGGGAAGACTATGGTGATGGGGGGGGGGGAGTTTTATGGGGTAAAAATAGATTTTTCCCATTTTTGACCCTAATAAAAAAAAAAATTTAATTTCTCTCCAAACCATTTTGTTGAGCTTAAAAAAAAATATTTGTATATTGAAGCGTTATTGTATGCCCAACGGTTACAGAGATAATTTAAAAAATTGTAAATTTAAAATTCCCATGTTATTCTTATGGAGAATAAATAAACTGTTGTAGTTTTGCTTGTTTATGGATATATTTAAACTAAATTTGGAAATTTTGTTTATTTAATAAGGCATTTATTCAGTCGTTCAGCACATTACAAATTAGCAATAGACATCGTCACATTTTATTTACAAGACTTCTAACGGTCTAACAATAAGAAAATGTAAAATGTAAAAACACATCTGACCTGTAGTCTTACATA